AATACTTAATTATTATCTTTATAAAAAATATATATTAAATTAAAAATAAATTATTTTATTATTAAACCTAAAATTGAATTATAAAAAAAATTGAATTAACGAAATTACACAAAAAAATGAGAACTTTTAGATAGTTAATTTAGTATTAATGTCGATCTTTTTTTTTTCTTCAAATTTTTATGATATCTCTAAATTTATATTTTATTCAAAATGAAAACACTGTCGCTTTCTCAAAACCACATAAACTTGTATTATATCGACATAGACAGAATAAAATGAAACATTAAAATCGAGATAGATCTTGCTGCATTGCACGAGTACTTTTCTAGCTTTATTAAAACATAATAATTAATTTTAGAATTAATAAAATAATTATCACTAATTTTTCGAGTTAACATATTCGTCTCACAAATATTCAATTAATACATTTCGTGGTTTAACGCGAGTATCCTTATCCTTTCCTCTATGAATTTATGTTATTATATTCGGTTTTATGTTGTTATCTTGGTATAAAACTATAGTCAATATTATGTTTTTTTTATAAAAAAAATTGCTAATAAAATTTCATGTTGTTAAACGTTGTACGATATATAAGTGTTTATTTTAATAAAAAAATTATTTAAATATAATTACAATTTGAAATCATAAAATAATTAAATTATAAACTTAATACAAATATAGCTTCTTATAGAGAAAATTCCAAAAAAAACCAATAGATTTTAATGTTTGGAATTATTAAATTTTTGGATAATTTTTTGAAACAAATAAGTCTTTAGACATTTCAAAACCTGTTAAATAACTTCTTGAACTTTCTAAAATACGTCAGATGTATTTTTATGACCTATAAAAATGGTTAATGTGGTAAAATGATGAAAAAAGTCTGGAAAAAAAAATCAATGAACTTTCATATTTTGAATGATTAAGTCCCTAAAAAAATTTTAAACAAAAAATTACTTATATTTATAAAATGAAACAAATATACCAAAAAAGTACATTTAACAAAGATTATTGATTACGTTTATTTTAATTAAAATAAAAAATATTTTGTCAGTGATTTTTTTATTTAAAAAAAGACTATTGATTATATTTATTTTAATGAAAAATAAACTATGTTTCGTATATGATTTCTCAAATTAAAAAGATTACTAATGAAATTTATTTTAATTAAAAATAAAATATATTTTATTGGTGATTTTTTAAATTACAACAATTGAAAATAATTTGATTAAATTACTGACGGATTAACGATAAAATTTAACTAAATACATAATTATTAAAATTTGTCGCTAATGTACATTGGTATATATGCATGAATTACTTATATCTAATCGATGGCTAACTTGACCATCGTTGGACGTTCTAACACAGTAACATGTTAATGAGTGTGAAAGATCGTGCTTGAATCTTGTCAACGATATCATTTCACCGATGGATTAACGATGAATTTTAATTAATTATGTATTTAGTTAAATTTTATTGTTAATCCGTCACTAATTTAATCAAATTATTTTCTATTTTTTTAATTTAAAAAATCACCAACGGAATATATTATATTTTTAATAAAATAAATTTCATCAGTAATTCTTTTTTTTTAATTTAAAAAACCATGTATCAAATATATTTTTATTTTTAATTAAAATAAATTTAATCAACTAATCCCTTTTAAATTCTTTTTTATTTTTTTAACTTAAAAAATCACAGACAAAATATGTTTTATTTTTAATTAAAATAAATTTTATCGATGATCTTTTTTAAATATAAGTACTTTTTGGTATTTTTTTTATTTTGTAGATATAAGTATTTAAAAAAAAATTATTTAGGACTTAATCGTTAAAAATATGAAAGTACATTAGGTTTTTTTTCCAGACTTTTTCTATTATTCTACCATATTAACCAATTGTATATGTCATAAGAAGTTATTTAACATGTTTTAGAAAGTCGAAGAAGTTACTTAACAAGTTTTCAAGTCAGCTTTAAAAACTATTAAAAATTTAGTATCTATACTATAATATAAAGCATTTGACAAAAAAAAAATTTAAAACCATTTTTTACGTATGAGGTTCTGTATATTGATGCATATTACTTCAAATTCAAGATTACAAGTAAATTATGCATAAGTACAGCTTATTAAAGCTCCATGTTTGAATTCGTGTAACTAACTGCAGATAAACATAATCAAATAAAGATAAACATCTCTTTTTAAAATATAAAAAATCTAAAATATAATTAGGATAATTATCGAGTTCTAACAAAATAATTATTTATTATATTTAGAATAAAATTATATTATTAAACCAAATATAAATTATTTCGTTATTGAACCTAAATTAAATTATTATAAAAAAATTGAATTAAAAAATTACACAAAAAATATGACTTTTAAATAGTTAATTTGATATTAATATCGATATATTTTTGTCAAAAATTTATGATATTTTCAAATTTATATTTTATTCAAAAAAATAAAAACATTATCGTTCTTTCAAAATACTATAAAATCGACTGAGATAAAGAATAAAATGAAATATTAAAATCAAGATGTATCTCGCTGCATTGTACTAATACCCTTCTAATCCATTTATAATGATTTCTAAGCATTTCCAAAAAGTTCTCCAAATTTTTCTTTAAAATGAAGAATTAAAAGTTAAAATATTCAAAACAATATTACATTCATCTCATTCCACATTTTGGAGAATCAAATATTGGTTATAATATTATAATATTTCATTCATTTATTAAAATATTATTGTTCTCTCTAAAAATATTCATTTCTCAAAGCTTCTTATTGTAGATCTCAATTCGTAATCATTTTTTGGGTATTCTTTATATTTGGAGGAAAAACTCTTCTCTCTCCTACTTTCCCCATTTTGAATATAGTTTTTGGGAAGTTGTTGGAGCAAAATATTGACTCAAATTTTTCATTTTCTCCATTTTGAAGAAGTTGTTGAAGATGCTTTAAAATTATCTGTAATAGATATTCCAAAATAGAAAAAACGGAGTTTTGGTTCTTATATTGCTCCAAAAAATTCTTTATCTTGTTCTCTAAAACAGAGAAATCTAAAGAAAAAACTCCAAATGTAGAGAATTTTTTTTAAGAAGCCATAAATGTTATTTTAATATATCTCACCAATGAGATTATTTGTTAGTTTTTTATATAAAGTTTTTTTTAATCTAAAAATATATTTGAATGATAAATTATATAATATTTTAATAATATAGGTGATGCTAATTATCTAATAAAGAGTATATGTTGGAGTTGAATGCAATTTTTTTTAAATGATTTTTAATTATTTGTTTTACAAAAAATAGTAAAGAATTTGTTGAGGTTGTTACTATTGGTTGACTTAATATTTTTAATGATTCTCTTTTTTTAATATTTTTATTTTATTTAGTATATACAATAGATAAATAGATAGGGAAAAGTTCATTTGAGAAGTAGCAAGTGTTTAAGAAGTAAAAACTGATCATAACCTTTCTTCTGGTCAATATTTGTGGCTTTGACTATGAAGTATCAGATAATTCTTTGCATTGGTATGCAGAAGATAGAAGAGTAGTTTTGTAAACTTTACAAATAGGCGGCAAATAAGTTCACCATATGAACCATATGTGAATCCATTAATTAGTTCAGCTGTGAAGTATTTAACTGAATCACATGTGAACCCACAGGTTCATATGTGAATCCGTTAAAATAGTTCATACGTGAATTACACGGATTCACATATGAACATATAGTTCATATATGAATCACAGTGGTTCACATATAAACTCATTTGCTGCCTATTTGTAAAATTTACAAAACTACCCCTTTATTGAAAAACAATCATCAATTCCATAAATAAAAAATGAAAATATATATTTAGGCAGTAAGATCATTTTGAATGAATTCATGGGTGCTTTAACCATTCAATCAAGGATGCTTTAACCATTCAATCAAGGATGCTTCAATGATTGACCAAATGAAAATATAAAGAAATAATATATCACTAGTGTTTGTTATCGTGCAATTTTTTTTTAATTATTGAAGTTAGCTAAATGAGTCAATGATCACATTTATATATTAAACTAATAAGAATCAAGATTATTTTTGATATATGAATCCACCTTATCATTATTGGTTATTCTTTTAATATATATATATATATATATATATATATATGTCTTATATATCAATCTTTTATCATATTAAACTTTGTAATTAGTTTAAAATCATAATAAATTTGGGTAGTGGTCGATCGACTGATGAAATCGGCTCATTTTCATCTTGTCCGACAAACTTTGTCAATTGATAAGCTGACCGAAGTTTTCCGATGTGAGATTGTGCGTCTTCATGGCACACCTGTATCGATTACCTCCGATCGAGACCCACATTTTACATCTCGATTTTGGGAAGGTTTACATAAAGCTTGGGGCACACTTTTGAATTTTAGTACAGTCTTTCATTTGCAAACTGATAGGCAATCTGAACGTACGACTCAAACATTGAAGA